CACGCCCATGCTGCAGCAATGGTCCTCGGGGACCAGCCAGCACGGCTCCCAGAGCCTGGCCAGCCGCCCGCATGCCTGCTGTCCCAGGACACGGCGCGGGGAGGCTGGGGAGAGGGAAGGACTTCCTGCGTACCACCACTGCTAAGGGGGACCCGTAGCCCAGTACCTCCTCCGCCTTCTGCTGCAGCAGCGCCGCCTCCTGCTTCAGCTTTTCCTTCTCCTGCTCCAGGTCGGCAATGGCCCTCCGCAGCTTCTCTGCGTCCTGGTCGCTCTGGTGCCGCTGGATCTCCAGAGTGTGCACCAGCGTCATCTTCTCCTGCGTGGCCAGCTCGGTCTCGTGCAGCCTCTCGCTGATCTCCTCTGCCTGCTTCTTGAACCGCTTGGCTTCCTCCTCGGCCTTGGCCTGGGCCATGCTCATCTCCGCCACGTGTAGCTTGAGGCGCTCGGCCTCGGCCGTGATCTCCAGCTGCCGCCGGCGCTCAGCCTCCAGGGTTTTCTGGAAACCCTCGGTCTCCTCGGCCAGGCGCTGCTGCATCTGCTCCTTGTCCTCCTGCAGCCGCTTGGCGTGCTCCTGCGCCAGGTCCTTCTGCTTCTGCAGCATCTCAGCATCTCCCCCCCCAGCGCCCGCTGCTGCGCCAGGTCGTCCTCGGCCAGCTTCCGCATGCGGGCAGCCTCCTGGGCCTCCACGCTGAGCCGGGCAACTTCCTCCGCCACCTGCTTCATCTTCTCGGCCTCCTCCGCCAGGAACTTCTGCGTGTTGTCCTTGTCCTTGAGGATCAGCACCTTGTTCTCCTCTTCGATCCGGCTCTTCAGCTTTGCCAGCTCCTCCATCTGCACCCGGACCTTGAAGAGCTCCTTCTCCACCTGGGCCTTCTGCCGGACGGCGTCGGTCACCTCCTCCTTCAGCCGCTGCAGCTCCTCGTCCAGAATGCCCTTCTGGTGGTCCGTCTCATCCAGCTGCAGCTTCACCTTGGTCAGTTCCTGCTCCACCTGCGCCTTCTGCCGCAGCGTCTGCTCAGCA